GCACCATCTGTTACAATATTTTCTTAAAAAACATTTTGTATTTTTAATTATTATAAAATGGCAAAAAGCTTAATTTTGAAAATAGGGATGGATTTTATAAAAAATTGCAAATGCTAATAATGAGTAAAATCACCATTAAGTCCAACCTACTTGAGATATGACACACAACACCCTTTTTCTCCCCACGTGATCAACATTTAACCACCAAAATTTAAAAACATCAATTTCCCTAATAAACAAACCTCTCTGCAAAATTTCAGAATTTTTGACAAAAAGCACAGGAGTTATTAAACTTCAAAGAAGGTGAACAAAATCATGACTCTCCCACACATCCATATATACAGAAAAATCCCTGATTTTTTTTTGCATTTCTCAATGTTTCAAGGTCCTGAGTCCAAAAATTTAAAAATCAGATATTTTTGACCTACTGCCATATTTTCCCTCTGTTATATATAAAAGAGCAAGAAAGTAAACATTTTGAAACCCCCTGAAACAATTCTAAAAAGTAATATAATATATTTAAATTTAGTCATATTTTATTGTTTGTATTATATTATTTATAACCTCATTAAAATAATAGTAATTTCCTTAACAAAAAAATTTCATTCATTCAGATTTTTTTCTGTTCATTCCACTGTAAGTTATTGAGTGTCTACTATATTTTAAACAATTTTAATTATTTATTTTTCTCAATAATCAATATAGATTAAAAAGAAATACATCTTAAAGATAATTTAAAAATGCCTTACTGTACTTACTTCTAATTTTATTTTTTAATTGTCTACTTGGACATTGCTCATTAGTAGGACTGGTGTTTAAAATTTGATATAATAATGACAGTTAGTTCAGAAAAAACAAAAATTTTTTTATTAAAATTCACCTGTAGTAGTAATTTTTTCTGTACACATATACATGTTTCGGGCTAACATGCCCTCAATAAATTTTAACTTACATTAAGTAGTAAGTAAGATGTTAAGTTAAAATTTATTGGTTGATATTGTAATCTTTCTTAAAAAAATCATTAATTTATTGTAATTTTGCTTTATACAGAAGAATGAATTTATGTAAATTGGTAATACTGTAAGGTCTCTTTTTATGTGGATTATTTTTATGCGATTTTGAAGTTGTGCGGTTTGTATTTCATCCAAAAATTTCTTGGACAAACATACATATAGGCTTGTTTAGGAAGCCCGCGTATAGACAGTCTCCAAAAATCGTGGAAGGCTCAAAGCTCACTCCATTTGTTCCACTGACATATAACATTTATGGATGTAAAGGACAGCTAGATCTACCTTAATTGCTTTAGTTCCTAGCAATTTTTGATATAAATGTACTTAAACATAAAAAATACTTAAAACTGAAAAAAAATGAAAGAAATGTGTTAATTTTGAAGAAAAAGCTTCAAAGTTTAACTTCCTTTGTCTCGCCCTTCTGTGAAATTTAATACCGATGAGTCATTGTTTACACATCTGGATGACCTTGAACACAGCTGGAGTTGGATTTCCCGGGGCATTCTTATAGACGTCGCGGGAGGACAAGGGTTTAAAGTAGGGTGAACACTAGCTGGCCGTACATTTTTAAATGTTTTTAAAAAATTTGGAGACTTAAAAAACATTCCAAAAATTAAAAAAAAATTTTCAAAAATGGTCTTAAGGACCGTGTTTTATGTAACGCTATGTGACCTTCCCGAGTTAACTCAGGCAAGGAACTAAAGGAGAAATTTTAATTAAATCTTCACATCCAGATGTCAGTGATTTGTTTTTAGCAATTTTTTGCAATTCGGGGATTCCCCTTGTATTACTTTTCAATAAAATAAACTGAATTAAGTTTGAATACAAGTTTATTTTAAGCTTTTATATGAATTTCTTTCAGACATTCGAAGTAATTTATTAAGCAGCCTATTTCTTTTAATTTCTGCAAACTTTTTTATGCGGTTTTAAGTTAATTTGGTTTTATGCGATTTTAGAAAATTACAGAATGTATCCCTACTTTTTCAAGGCAAGTAAAGTCTTTTTTTATGCGAATTTTTTATATGCGCTTTTCTGTAGAACGTATCCACCGCATAAAACGAGACCTTACAGTAGTTAATTTTGGAAATATAATCCATTTGTACAAGGTATTAGGATATGTTCTTACTGTAAGTTTTTTTAAAAAATGATTTTTACTGTCAGGTATTTATTATACACAATATCTTATTTATTTATTTAATTATTTTTAGTGGTTTGTAGTAATACTGCTGGTGAGGGGCATGTTAGCATGAAACACGTATATGTGTACAGAAAAAATTACTACTACAGGTGAATTTTAATAAAAAATTTTTGTTTTTTCTGAACTGTCATTATTGTATCAAATTTTAAACACCAGTATAAAGTCCTACTAATGAGCAATGTCCAAGTAGACAATTAAAAAATAAAACCTCATATATGTAATACACTTAAATTATGGCACTCTAAAATATATTTTTATGAACTTTGATGTCTTCATGACACCTTACTATTTAAATTATTTCTTAAGAAATGTAAAACTGATTTCTTAGCAGTCAAAAATTCTTTTATAAACTTTTTCAAAGTTCTTTAAACTTCATATTTGGATTCTAAATAGCATATTTAAAAACTGTTTGGAATTTGAATATGAGTACTAAGGAGTCTTGAAATGTTTAAAAATAAAATTCAAAAGTGGATTTTCATATAAAATTATAAATAGTAATATGTAACATTTGAAAATATCTTTATGCAAAATAAACAAGAAACATGCCAATAATTTCTTCAAGTATTTTTGTCAGAAATATTGTCTGATTTTAAGATTTACAATTATTTTTACATAATATACAGAACAAGAATTTTGAAATAAACATATTATTTTTCTATGTATTAGGTAAAATTAATTTTAAGTTTAATATTATAATTTAACATATCATATATAATAATAATAATAAATCATATAATAATTTACCAAAATGCTTGAAAATTTTTTTGACTTATTTCTTATCTATTTTACATATGTAACATCTGAAGAATAGTATTTCCATTTATCTCTAATGACACTTACAAGCATATTCGATACTTTGAAATCTGCATTAAATTTCAGCATATGAATATATTTTGATAATTTAATTTTTAATAACTTTAAAACTTTTAAACCTTACTGATGATCCATTTCTAGTCATAATTATACAATTTTTTAATAAACTCACTTCTTTAATAAATGAATTTTATAGTCTCCAACATAAACATAAGGTTGTAATCAGCTCTTTATGTTTGTATCAGACATTTCTTTAATAAATGCTGTTTTAAGAAGATAAATTTTCAAATCTATTTATATCTCTTAGGCTCAACCAAAAATGTTCATTGAGCTAAAAAATTGACCACAATGTGTTCAAACTTCTAAGATCCAGTCACAACACAAATTTTGTGTCATTGCACTTTCAAAAATGAATGCAATGTGTTTTGACATATTCAATAAGACCACAAAGTAAAATTCATGTTGATATTCTTTTAATAATCAACCAAAATTTTGCAATCTGGCAATGTAAAAATGCCACAATGAATAAAACAAGTTCATAGGAAGATATATAAATAAAATAAACATAAATTTCTCAAAGAATAATCAAGACAAAAGAAGACAAAATTCAATGAAATTACAAATCCAAACACAAATATGTATCTACAAAAGCCTTAAACAGCAAAATTTTCCATTTTATTTATAAGATATGTTTGGGGATGTTCTTTAGAATACATCTTCAGGACTCAATAACAATTATCCTAAATATTTTAATATTTTAAAGCCTAATAAGTACGTAAGGTTTAATTGAATGTTGAGCAATACATAAGTACTTACTGGGTTTTAAATTTGGGTTTTAGATTGATTGTGAATAAGTCCTGAAGATGAAAGATTTTGATAGAGGTGATTCCTTGAAAAAAGCTATAGTTTATTGATTTTTAAATATAAATAATTTGAAAAATAGAGCTGGAACAAGAATTTCAGTTTCAAATTTAGCAATACTATCCAAGATATATATATATATAAATTAAAATTTTAGACAGATTATTATTTACTATAAGTATTAATAAAAATATAAAATATAATAGCTCTTACTATATTGCATATGTTAATTAACTAAAAATCCAAAGCAAAGATGATAAAATATCATTAATTTAATAAAAAGGAACGAATTACACTTTTATAAATAAATGTTTTAGATGCAAAAAGACTTTTTGATGCAGAAATCAATTTTTATTTTTGATTTTATTTTTAAGATGAAGTTTACTTCATTTTTCTGAATTATCTTTCATGCAGCATGTTTAAAAATACCAAAACTTCATATAAATTTATAGAATATAATGCAAAATTGAAACATTTCTATATATTTGTCAGACTTACTAGCAACCCTGCAAAAAACATTTATGTTTTAATAGAAGAAATAACTAAAAATACAGAGAATATTTTGATATCATTTGTGACAATGAATTGAGATTACTCAATACAACTTAACAACTATTCTTTTTGTATTTTTAATTATTTCCTCTATTAAAGCATAATTTTTACTTGTATTTGCCAGATCTTTTGTGTAAAAGTCAAAATGACATTTTTAAAGTTCAAAATCAAAACTATATATTGAAATATTGCCAATTGGATAGCTGTAGTATTATTTGTCAAAAAAATTTACTGTAAATTTTAAAATAGCTTAATAATAATTATAAACTTTAAATTAAATCATAACTGGAAAAGAATATACATCAATATCAATTAATTTTAATAAACTTTGATTAAAATTTTTATATAATTTTCTTCAATATTTACTTAAATTTATAGAAAAATTGATAAACTTATCCAGTTATGTGAATAACAACAATATATTAAATAAAAATTTTAATGAGAAAAAATATTTTAATTTGTTTTATAATCAGAAAAGTAAAAACTAATTCCTCAATAGGATGAGTCAAAGGACATCTGTTTACATCTTAGTGAGAGTTAAAATAAAAAATGTAAAGACTTCTTACCAGTTGAAGGACACTGTCAATGGCTCGGTTATATTTATCACATAATGTCTTCATGCTCTCAAAACTGATTTGTGAAAATAATCTTACATTATTATACAATATTTTAAATAATATAAAATACTTTACTACTAAAATTGATATAAAATATTTCTTAATTTATTATTCAGAACTTTATTACAAAAAAAAAATAATTAATTTTGATTATTATAAATGCAAAGACAATATAAGAACTATAGAAATGAATATTATTTCTACAGCTTTATATCACTTTTAAAATAATAAAAAGAAAAATAATGTTTGAATTAAGTGAATTTATGATTACTAATAATGAATGACATGTTAAAATAATAAGATTTAAGTTCAAATTGTATGATAGGATGCTCTTGAAAAGTTTACAACTTCACCCAGATGCAAGAGAGCAAAAGCCACACTATGAGATTGATAGAGAAAAGCCATTGCTAAAACTCATGCACTGTAAGAGTCCATTATATTCATTACTTTGCTCAATTCAACAATTTGAATTCAATTTGATAACTGCAACAAGACTAGATGGAATTCAGCAACACTAAGAAGTATGTGGTCATTAAGTTTATGTTCTTGCAGAGGAAGAAATAGAACTGTTGTAAAAATTTCAGATGTAACAGAACAAAAGTGGAATGCTAAAGCATGATAAGAAAGATGTATTGGAGATTATAGTAGATTCACTCAGAGATGCTGGCAACTCAGAGGAACAAGATTTGCTTTCAATCAGAAGATCATCAGGACTGTAGATAGCTGACTTGTCAACCAACTCAAGAAATTTTTTTCTTTTTAGGGGTTAAAAAAGTTGAAGAACTTTATAATAAGTCTGTGTAGAGTTTAAAGGTGATTATGTTGAATAAAATACATTTAGTTTATCAAATTTCTCTTTCCTTCTAGGAAAGTCACAAACTTTTCAGCACCTCCTGTATATATATGTATATATAAACATACACACAGTATCTCAAAAAATATGTATACTTTAATGAATAATATATCATAAATTTTTAGTTTACTTGGGAAAATATCACTGAAATAGTTCATTATTTATGTGTTTTGTTACAATATAAAGAATATGTAATAAATCTTGGAATATATGACATTATTTCAAGTTTTCAAATTCATCATTCATGCATGATATAATTGCAATAACATTATTATATGCTTTAAATTAAGTAATTAATTAATGAAGTACTTATATATTACAATTTAAGTCCAAATGTTTTAAAAAATTTATATTTTTTTTCAACTTCAAAGACAACTTCTCCATAGCAACGAATACAGTGCCATAGTCTTGTTAAGTGTTCATTGCTATGAAGAAGTTATCTTTGAAGGTGAAAATGTATAATCATCCAACTATCAGCCAAATTAATTGGACTATTGAGATGCTTATAGAAAATGTATAAATTTCTGAAAATATCTGAGCTTTAATTAATGAATAACTTAATATAATAACTAAGTGCTCCAATAAAATATAATATAATTAATGTCAAACTGTAATTAACATAATAAAACAAACAATATATAATAAATACCTTTAGCAGTGGATAACAGTTTTGAGAATCATTAGTGTTGCCAGATCCTATGTTTTACTATAAGCTTTACATTTTTTCATTTATTTTACTATTTGTTTTCAATTTGCCCACACATGTTCTTCCTGTTTTTCTTTCTTTGATGAGAATTATATTTTAAATATCCTAGTAAATATAGTTGAAAATTGGTTGCAAACACAACCATTAGATGATGCTGTAACTATTCAACAACTGTTGGTAACAATCTTTTTCACTAATGCATAATTTTGTTGACAAAATCTGCCTTTTGAGGAAAGCCTGGCAACCCTAGGAAACATAAATGCTTTTAACCCAGTTCATGTGTCGTCTTCAGGTATAATAGAACAAAAGAGGTATGATAAGAAAGATGTATTGGAGTGCAAAATCTGTAATAAAACTATTACCAACATGTGCTTAAACAGCAGGAACAATACTCCCTCTCCTGCTTGGCAGTTTCTCCTTTATGACATCAGAGGATAATGCAAAAGATTCTCTCTTTCCTCTTGGTACATATCCTAATCCATCTTATAACACATCAGCATTCATCTTCTTACCCAAAGATGAAATATTCATGTTCTCCAAACTGTTATCACTTTTAAAGGTATACTGTTAGTTTATAAAGTACTGTTGTCTATGCATTGTTGATATTTTTGAGTAAATGTTATAGAAATGTTTACCAAGAAGTATGTTAAGATTATTGTTTACATCTCTACTTGCTCACCTTAATTCTACATGTAAATATTGCAGTTTTCATATTAAAAATAAAAATTATTTGAATTTGAATTAGTGAATTATGTATACATTTTTTTTTGAGATATTCTGCGAGATATTTTCCCTTTTGTGAAAATTATATTTTCAATAAAAAAATAATTTAAATTAGTGATTATTTAAAAAATAATACATTTGTTTTAAATAATCATATTTTCAAAGTAAATATGATTAGTAACATAATTTATTGAAAAAAATTTTAATGTCCTAAAACAGGGATGGGCAATATGTAATGACCATATTTAAAACTTTTGAACTGACACAAGCTGTACACAAGAGAAAAAAGAAAAGAAAATATGGGTAAATCACAATTATTTATTCATGTATAATGATAAATTAATGTAAGTATACTTAATATGACTTCTGGAACTAATGTGAATGTAATATATCCGAAATACTCGGTTGAATATTAGTCACTGCTAGTTTTAAATTAGTTTTGATGTGAGTCTGTTAGCCAATTTCTTGTTTTAGTTTTTTACTAAATCCAATGCAGAAAAAATTGTTCCTCTATGTAAATTGTAGAAAGTAATGATAGAATTTTTGCTGCATACTTCCTTAAGGTGAGAAATTGATATATTTATTAATATTTTGTATGACGTGGGCCATACAAAATATTAATGTGGACTGTGGATTGCCCATCCCTGTCCTAAAAGATGTAACAGTTTGATTATTTTGATTCTATTTTTAAATTTATAATAATTTATTAAACAATAACATATTTGATTTTCTATTGTATTTTTAAACTACTTTAATTGTAATTATTATTGTTTAAATACACTTGTTATTTATACACAATTATTTCAACATATGATATATAAACTCACTAATTCATATACTTTAAACTGAGTTAAAGAAAAATTAGACCAATTATATCTTAAACAATTGTTTAAAATTTCAGAAAATTAAATCCAAAGGAATTTAAGTAATCATAATTAATGAATATATAATCTTAAAGATAATCCAGTAAAGTTTCAAACTTCAGCATTGGATTATGTAAATAAAAAACTAAAATATTGAGAATATGAGTATTTCTGTCATTTTATTTATGCTTCTTCAGGCACAAAGTAAAAGAATCAAACAGAATTCAAACCAACAGATTCCAGAGTAGAACAATATCTAAATGTTATACTTCTTTCACAGAAGAAAACTTAAAAAGTAATAAACAAAAGATCTTTTTTTAAAATCTGAAATAGTATGCTTTCTCTGCAGAAGAAAAACTTGAAATTTGGGATTATTATTATCCTATATTATACCAGTGCCCAATGCAATGCCAGATTAACATCAAGGCATAACTAAAACAAACTATTCATGCATATACAGTATCTATATTCACAACCGTATGACATGTCCAGCATGGTAGTCCTCTACAATGTGATGCATGTGCTGCAGTGAAGTTCCAATGTTATCAGATCCTTGTAGCATGAAATTCACACAAGAAAGAACCATAGGTATAATAGACACTTCATGCATTCTACAGAGACTTTGCATATGAGTTCATAATACATGCCAATTCCTTCAGTGTAAGTATGTACCCTGTATGCTGTTTGGAATTACCATGTCCATGATGTAGATTGTAGATGATCCTACACAGTCTGTCAATGAATGCAAAATCCAGTCCATTATGATAGACTGTCCTACCTGTGACTATGTCAGGACCACAGCATATTTTGTATATATTGCCCTCCCTAACTGTCTGAGATGTACATCTGTGACATGGTTCCTAGTTGTACAACAGTCTGTGTTGATGCACAAACCCCCAATGTATTATATTTGCCACTTGGCTATATCAATTTAAACAGTTAAGCCAGATGCACACATGCAGCGTGGCAAGGAAAAGCGGTGTCGCAAACACATCTTTGCCGCGCGGCAACACAAGCACACAAGCAGCAATCTGCTTACATTTCGGCACATGCATTCAGTATTCAAGATGGCAAATGATACCGATATTGTCACTATACACGTGTTTACAAATTTTGTTTTGTACGGCTTGCTTTATTTAGTTAGAAGATTTTGTCGAAGATTCAAATGAAGAATTTGGATTAGAGATATTTTCTTGGATCGATAAAGAACTGGTGTACAAAATATGCTTATTCCTCAATAAAGAATACTATTTCGAGTAAGATTCGGTTGTTTTGTTCTTTGGATTAAATTATATATGATTATATGTGTAGAATTTGTGTTAAATTTATTATCTTTTCCTCTTTACTCTGATGTTAGTTATCTTGGTTAACTGCGTCAAACTTTCCGCCATTAAAACACTACGTAATTGTATTTTCTCATGAGACTACCAGACAAACAATAGGCTGATAGAAACCCGTCTTGGTGGCGGTCGCCGCAAAAGATAGAATTCAACCAACTTTTGTAGCATGAGAAAAGCGGAACAAAATCAACTTCTGTGGTAAGAAAAAGTGACGTCATTCTGCTGCTTTTCCTTGCTGTGCCGCATGTGTGCATCCGACTTTAGCCTGTGTAGCCTACAGTACAGCCCAATGTGATGTGCCTCACAGTCCTTCAAATGATGTGGCACCTCCCACAAGCATTATCTATGAGGACTGTGCTCCTCAGAATATGCTTTCTGTAGCTTTTTACATTTATGACTTGGTCTTGTATAGCAATCATTTATTACTACTTATATACAAACACATGAGAAATATGGAATGTTCTATATCTTAAAATAAAATAGTGTCATTTATCAAGTAATATTCCAATTTTGAATATTATCAAATTT